CCATCCATCTATCCACCCATCATCCATCCATCCATCATCCATCCATCCATCATCCATCCACCCATCATCCATCCATCCATCCACCATCCATCCACCCATCATCCATCCATCCATCCATCCACCCATCATCCATCCATCCATCCATCCATCCAATAGCTTTGAAGCACTTATTGTGCTTCAAGAATAGCTATTTCTATAACAGTGAGCAAGTTCTTACACCTAAGTCATGAGTGGTGACACACGCCTTTAATCCCAGTACCCAGACAACTGAGTCAGGAGAATGACAAGTTTGAGGCCAGCCTGGCAACCTAGGTGAGATCCTGTCACAGATATGAGAATAAGTAAATAATAACACCGGATGCACTTTCTAAACAAATAACAGGTTGCATTTTCCAGCAAGAAACTGAGCCAGCAGGTCCTATACCAATAGTCCAGATGGGGATAAGGCCGGGAGACCATAAAGCAAAGAAGGCAAAATGCTGGGTGAGGGTTTTTGGAGAGAGGCTGGAGTTTGGGGAAAGGAGATACCTTGCTGATGTGAGGTGTGGACAACCCTGCCCAGGTCCTGAGTGAGAAAGTCTGTGTGTCTGAGGGACAGCAATAAGGGCTGTGTGGTTGGGGGCTGATTGGGAACCAACAGTGGTGGAGAGACCACCAAAAACCCATCTCTGGAACTATGAGTTTAAGGAAGTCCAGGAACAGCAGCAAAGAGGAAAGGGATGGGGAAGGCTAGAAGGCTGCTGGGAAATGCTGTGATGTTTCCAGAGGTCCACGGTATTTGTCTGGAACCCTGTTCCTATTCTGCGGAAAGTGCCCTTTAATGCAGTCTTTGCCATTGCCACGGTGTGACAGCTTTTGGATGTCATTTACAAGGGTCATTCTGTTTGTTTCACATTCAAGGTGCAGTCGGCCATCAAGCTTGTGGCAGGTGATCTTCCTGCCACAAGAGGGCGCCATTTCACAGTGGCGAAGGAGACAGGTGGGCTCAGAAGCCCAGCACCACCTGGGTGCCACCACCTGGGTGCCACCACCTGGGTGCCACCACCTGGGTGCCACCACTTGGGCATCAGGCTCTTTCCACAGATTACAGTGCCCACATAGCCTTGCCTTCCATTAACTAGTAACACCACCTCCTTGAACTTCTGTTATTGGAACAAAAGGACTCAGAACAGCTGCCTGTGCCCAGTAACTTAGGCTCCATCACAAGGCAGCAGGAGCTATTAGCAGATGTAAGAAAAGAGAAATGTGGTTTTGTTTGAGGAGAGAACAAAATTCTGAAGACTCTGGTTTTGGGATGTCCCACAAATATTGTATTTTCTGGCTATGAAAAAGAATGTTTTTGTGTTTTCAATAATTGTTTGGAGCTGGCAGCTCAAGGTTAGAAGGATTGGTAAATGTCCCTTCTGCACCTGCATTTAAAAGCCAAACAAGTTGCCTTGGGGCAGGTGACCCTCCCAAACCTACTAGTTGAATAAAGAATGTGGCTTCGTGCTGGGACAGGAAGTACTGGGAACTACCAGGCAGGCAAAGGTGGAGGGAAACGCAGGGGGAGGGAGGTGCAGAAGGATGCAGAAGAGAGGAGGGATGGATAGAAGCAGGCAGCAAAAACTCCACGGAGAGATGGACTGGGGGGGGGGTCTCAGAGAGGAAGAGGTGGTGGGATGGTGGAATGGCACAGAAGTCAGGATAATTAGTTACTAGCTATTGGCCCCAGCAAAAGGCCAGCAGCTTTAAAATATACAGATGGCTCCATGTGTTAATTAACCTCAAGGGGGATCTGAGAAAGCCCTCCAAGACTGTGAAGAACAAGGGTGAGTGGGACAAACACAAGACAAGAGGTGCCCTTTGAAATTTGGACAGTCGTGCGTGCGCAAACGCGCACACACACACACACACACACACACACACACACACATTTGCATGCATGCATGGGTGCACACATACACACACAAACATACATACTCACACTTGTACACACACAGACACACACTTGTGCACACACAGGCATGCACAAACACACACACTGTCCCCTCCCCCATCTCTTGTGCCTTGATACAGTTGTCCAAAACACCCAAGACAGCACTGAGCTGCAAGTAATCAATGCCCTCCATCTGTGCCTATCTGTGTCGCTGCCCAGTAACTGTGCAGCCACTCACCGAGGCTGCAACGTTGATGTAGTAGTGACCCAGGTCCTCTTTCTCAGAAACAATAGTGGCATGTGCTTGCAGGACAGCGGCACTCATGTACAGAATGCCTGTGGTGCCGTGGTACAGGCTGTCCTGGAATGCAGATCAGAGGCAGGAGTCAATGTTACTCAAGTGAGTAACTCTCCTATCCACGTACACAGCAGGGAAGGGGGGGATGGGCAGGCCCATTCCCTACTGTTCTTTGGTTACAGTGTTTCCCAGTACATATGTTCTCTCTCTCTCTCTCTCTCTCTCTCTCTCTCTCTCTCTCTCTCTCTCTCTCTCTCTCTGTGTGTGTGTGTGTGTGTGTGTGTGTACATGCATTCATGTGTATCTTCTGCTGCTATTTTGTTATAGTGTTCTTGTGTGCACATGTGTATTCTGTATGCACGTGTGTATATGTGTATGTGAGAGGTAAGCTTCAGAAGTCTTCCTCTATTGCTTTCTCTTTTTTAAATTAGCTTTTTCTTTTCTCTTTATTTCTTCTTTTTTTCTTTCTTTTCTCTTTTCTTTTTCTTCTTTTCTTTTCTTTTTTTTTTCTTTGAGACAAGTTCTCACTATAGAGACAAGGTCTCTCAGGATTGACTGTCCTGGAACTGACTATGTAGACCAGGCTGGCCTCAGATTCACAGAGGTTTGCCTGCCTCCTGAGTGCTGGGATTAAAGGTTTTAAAATTAATTTTAATGTATGTGTCTGCTTGTCTATATGTGTATCATACAGTGTTTGTGGAGGTCAGAAAAGGGCACTGGATCCTCTATAGCCTTTGGAGCTAGAATTAGAGGAAGTTGTGAGCCATCTGATGTAGGTGCTGGGAACTGAACCCAGTTTCTCTGCAAGAGCAGCAAAAGCCCTTAACCACTGGCCCATCTCCACAGCCTTCCCCCAACATCTTATTTTCTGGGACACATCTAGGTAGACCAGTTGTCAAGCAAATCCAAGGCTCCTCCTGTCTCTTCCCTTCCACTCTTCACCTCCACCACGTGCTGGAGTCACAGATGTATTGCACCATGCTTGACTTTTTTGTAGGTGTTGGGCATGTGAACTCAGGTCCTCATGCTTATACAGCAAGCCCTTTACCAGCAAGGCCATTTCCCCAGCCTTTCTTTGCAGTGTTTTTAATGGAAGATATATATATATATCATACAAGAATGGATAAATAAAAAGTCATAATATGTATAACTGTAAAAATACCAAAACCAGCTAAAATGTACCCAGTTCTTATCCCATGCCCATCTCTCTACTAAGCATTTTTTCATTTGACTTTGTCTACTGTGAGGCAGGTCTCATCTTAAGGAGATGGAACCTCAAGATTCAGATGAATGCCAAATGGGTAAGCCAAGATTTGAACCCATGCCTCATGAATTCCAAGTCACTGTTCTTAAGTGTGGACACCATCCTGAGACAGATAGCTGTGCTGGGCTATACTAACCTCAGACAAGGCTGTTTTGCTTCAGGTAGGGCTGGACTTATTGCATCCAAATAGGACTGTTATCACCTCACAAAGAGTTAATCATAACAAGCTACAGCTGCAATTGTTCTAGGGCAGGTTGGCAATAAGAGTCTATCTGGGTAGATCTGTCTTCCAGAATACTCCAGATGCTTCTGTAGTTTCTCTCTGCTCTGTACCACTGTATATCTAAGACATTGTTTATTTCTGCCTTTTCCCGTTTTGGTGAATTCTTTTACCACCCTAAAACAGCTAAACGGCCTTCCACATTATGCTTCAGCCTGATGAAGACCCACTATGGGCTTGTCACTGCCTCGACAATACACTTTATCTTCTGTAATGTTCACTGTTGACTTCATGGGGATGTTTTCGTTATTCCCAATTCGTAGAGAAGGAAATTTAGACTCAGATAATGCTGGGGTCAGGAGAACCTGACTTCTGACTTCAATTGTCTTAAAAAAAGACTCTTTACATATATGTATGTATATGTGTTGGGGCAGAGCACAGCACACGTATGGAGGTCAGAGGATAAGTTGTGGGGGTTGGTGCTTTCCTGTGAGTTCCAGGGATTGAACTCAGGTTACCAGGCTTGGCAGCAAGTCCTTTCACTTGCTGAGCCATCTAGCTAGCCCCTGATTTAAGTGGGTTTTTTTTTTGTTTTTTTGTTTTTTTGTTTTTTGTTTTTCGAGACAGGGTTTCTCTGTGTAGTCCTGGCTGTCCTGGAACTCACTCTGTAGACCAGGCTGGCCTCAAACTCAGAAATCTGCCTGCCTCTGCCTCCCAAGTACTGAGATTAAAGATGTGTGCCACCGCTGCCTGGCCTAATTTAAGTTTTGATTTTCTGTGTTTACGCTGTCAACTCAACAGGAATGTCCTGCAGCCACTAAAATGCTCATTAGCTCTTGAGAGAAGGAAGTAATTGGCTAATCGGCATTTTACAACGGCTAGAGAAGAGTAGCTCACACATGCCATGGTGTGCCTTCAGAAACCAAATGTTTTTCTGTGCCTGCTACTCATCTCACTATGGGAGTCCTGGTGTTCCAGATGTGTGACCTTACTGCACCTAGGTTCAATATATCCTTCTGTCTAAGACTTCTGAGTTACTGGGAGACTATAGGTACATACCACCATGCTCAGCCTTACAATGTTTTTTTTTTTTTTAGTTTATTGCAAGTGTATGAGTGTTTTTTTCTACAGGTATATATACATATATATGCTTACAATATATATATGCATACATGTGTGCATTGATTGATTGATTTTCTGTGTACTACATGCATGCAGTGTCTGTGGAGGCCCAAAAAGGGTGACAGATTTAGACCTGGAGTTACAGATAGTTGTGAGCCTCCATGTGAGTGCTAGGAACTAAACCTGGGTCCTTTGCAAGAGCAACAAGTGCCCTTTACAGCTAAACTATCTCTTCAGATAATATTCTTAACTTCAGGAAGGTGTGTATTGTCCTAACAAGGAAGACTGTGGAGGGAAATACAAGGAAAGATTTACAAATATGTTTTCACTTTGGCTTAGTACTCAACTCACTGGAATAAGAATCGTTGGCTTCATAGGAATCTCTTTCTAGTGGGATCTCTAATCCCAGTTTTTCATTCTCCCTCTCCACCTAGAAAGGCCCACCATCCTTACAAACCCAGGACACCAGTCCAGGAGGTGCCACCCCCTAGTTCTTACCAGGACTCTCCAGGACTCAAATCGTTTGTAAAATCCAAACAAGTAGGACATCAGGAACATCAAGGAGATGAGAAACGAGGTGAGTGAGACATACAGCACCCATCCGTGCAGCAAGGGGTATGTGATGTTGGTAGCAGCCACCAGAGTCCACACCCAGAACCCAAACACCTGTAAGAAAAAAGCACAGAAGGGCTTGCTTGCTGTGTGTCGATGGGAGGGAATCCCTTTGCAGAGCATCCCTGGCTAAAAGCTTAGCTGAGGGTCAGAAAGTGGGCAATGGAGCTTGCCGTCAACTCTGACAACCAGAGTTTGATCTCTGGAACCTGCAGAGAGAGCCCACTCTCTCAAGCTGTTCCCTGAGCTACACATGTGCACCGCAACATGTGTATGTGTGCACACAGAGGAAGGCTGATCTCTCTCATTCATGGTCAAGTCTGTGGATCCTCTGGAACTGCTGTCAGCTGTCATAGTGGGTGCTAAGAACCAAACCCAGATTCTCCTGAGGAACCCATGAGCCATCTCTCCTGCCCTAAACAGTGCTTTTAAGGACAACACTGACTTGTGATATCAAGAACTTGTTTTTGTCTTTTTTTTCCTCTGTGACATTCAACCCCACACATGCACCTGCCCACTGGATATCTGATTTTGGAAATCCCTCTGTAGAGACTGGACTCACATCTTTCTAGTTGAGTGGAAAACTACCCTGCCTTCAGGCTTCACCTGTCCCAGCACACCCCCCACCCCTACAAGCTCAGCCTACAACTAACCAGCATACAGACATAGGTACAGCCAGTCCATCTATTCATTGTAAGACCTTCCTGACTGTTGCCTTGAAGAAACGTTCTTTTGCCTTCCTGGAGAATCCTGGGCTCTTAAGGGGAAAATGAGAAGAAGGAGTAAGAAGCTATCTAGCTAACCACAGGCCAGGAGTGAAAGCCCGGCTCTCATGTGGTAGACAATTCTAATTTAATCATGGTAAATTTCTAATTTAAAAGACCCACTAGGTCTACCGTAAACAATCACTTTAAACAATCAATTTTTTTTGTTTTTTTTTTTTTTCAAGTCAGGGTTTCTCTGTGTAGCCCTGGCTGTCCTGGAACTCACTCTGTAGACCAGGCTGGTCTCGAACTCAGAAATCTGCCTGTTGCCGGGCGGTGGTGGCGCATGCCTTTAATCCCAGCACTTGGGAGGCAGAGGCAGGCAGATTTCTGAGTTCGAGAGTTCGAGGCTAGCCTGGTCTACAGAGTGAGTTCCAGGACAGCCAGGGCTACACAGAGAAACCCTGTCTCGAAAAAACAAAAACAAACAAACAAACCAAACCAACCAAACAAACAAAAAACGGAAATCTGCCTGTCTCTGCCTCCCAAGTGCTGGGATTAAAGGCATGTGCCACTACTGCCCGGCAATAATCAATTTTTAAGTAAGGTTTTGGAAGTTCTAGGCTGAATCTGGAGATGTCTATCTTGTCCTAGGGAAAAGTTCTGGGGTGGGAGGCCTGTCCTCTGACCCCCACCCCCACCCTCTGTTGATGATATCACAGGGAGAAGATAGCACTCCAAGGCACTTGCTAAGTGTCTTTCCTGACAGGCTGTAGAAAGTGCACACAGGTGCCAGCACCAGGGCAATCCCAGACAGTGCAAGCTGTTAGTGGGAATGCCAACTGGAGTCTATAAAACTGGTGCTTACACCAGGACACACACAGACCTCAGAGGGCAGCGTAGTCTGTGTTAGTGACTACAAACCCAGAAAAGGTCCTGGAGCAAAGCAGATATATTGGGGGAGAAGTGTTGGGGTACACTGTTTGAAAAAAAATCTATAAGAAAATCATCTCTCCTTCGCACTTACCAGAAACTTCACAGTTTGTAAAAAGAATCTATTTACTCCAGCTGCCTCATTTAATCTGGCGTGAGACTCTAGTTCGCTCAGAGAGACCAGAGAATCGTCAGTTCTTTCTCTGCTGTGTTGAGCCCACCTGTGTCAGGTTCAGCTGCCAGCCAAGTGCTTCTGTCCCTCTGCTCCTGTCCTCCGACCCCTGCCATCAGAAGCTGCATTGACAGCTGTTCTGTACTTTATTGTCTTTGTGAATTTAGACAGCACCAGTGCCACTGGAGGGTGCTGAGGCCTGAGGTTGCACAGGCAGTACAGAATGGGGCCTGAGCACAGGGGAGGACATTTGGATGGCTGTCCTCCGAAGCAGATTTCATGCTGAGGGCAGGGGAGCTGGATGCTCCTAGAAAGTGCCAGCAGCAAAAGCCCTGGGACAGTTAAAGACCTCCTCAGACCTCTCAAGCCCCCATACTAGAGGGTCCATTTGGATCTTTGTCCTCCGTTTTCCAGCTGAGGTTTGGAAATGGCCATTCCTACTGTTCACTCAAAGACTTTTGAGCATGGGGAATCTACTCAAATTACATGGATTTTTTTTTTTTTAAACAACCCTGCTGAATAATTGTTAAACAGAGGAATGCTGTTTGGTTTTTACTTCTACACCCCTCTGCTTTCTAAACAATAGATGGGCCTGGGTCCACTCCAGGCGAGTGAAAACCCAGTGATGTTTGTGTCTCACACTTCTACCTCAAGTAGTCTGGGCCAGGAACTTGATTTACAAGTTCTTTTTAAAAGCTCATGTTTAACTTTGGAGTGTCCAGGCTGCCTACCCTGTTCCCCTATTTTAGCTTCCATTTTACGTCTCCTAGGAGCAAGGCATATTTTTAGGTGGCACGTGTGCCTACCCCATGGACAGCTATTTCACTGCAGTTAGACATTTAGAGTAAGTGTGCATCAAATACGATTTTAGCAGGGTCTTTTTCTTCAAAGAAATGCACGTTGCTCATGGATATACTTCCCAAGGACTAAAGTCAAACCCCCTTTAAGGTAGAATGGAGGGCCCAGCAGGGTAGCTCAAGCTAGTGCTCAGGAGGTAGACACAAGTGGAACTTGTTTGAGACAAGTTTGAGACCTGGTCTATATAGCAAGTTCCAGGAGGGTTAGAGCTGTGCATGAAAGACTCTGTCTCAAAAAAAGAAAGAAAGGAAGAAAGAAAGAAAAAGAGGAAGAAAGAAAGGAAGAAAAGAAAGAGAAAAAGAAAGGAAGAAAGAAAAAGTAAAAAAGAAACATAGAATAGAGTTGAACCAAAAGGCTGGTCATGTATCTTAGACTATAACCCACTTGTTGGGTGGTGGCAAGGTGGCTCAGTGGTTAAGAATGCACACTGTAGTGAGAGTTTTGTTTTGTTTTTTTTTTTTGAAGATTTATTTTATTTATAAGTATACCATTGCTCTCTTCAGACACACCAGAAGAGGGCATGGGATCCCATTACAGATGATTGTGAGCCATATGGTTGCCGGGAATTGAACTCAGGACCTCTGGAAGAGCTGCTGGTGCTCCTAACTGAGCCATCTCTCCAGCCCCTGTTTTTTTTTTTTTTTTAAACCACAGAAATATTATAAGAGTATGTTTTCATTTTAATCCCAGCAGGTATGTGGATGTGGGGGTGCTTCAGACTGCAGCAGCTACCCATGATTTGCCTCATGCTCTGGCAAGGGCATGTTTTTTGCCAGTGGCAGATAGTTTCTGAGGTTGTGTGACATTTGGAATTCTGGGTTCTTTTCAGAGGGTGTATGAATGCTAGAGCCCTGGGGGGGGGAGGGGGCTGGTGGTTGTTTGGGGGATGGGGGTGTTGTGGTTTGTTAGTAATTGTGCTTAAAGAAGAAATAAGAAAGAAATTGGATTCAAGTATCTTTGTCTCCCCTCTATCCTTTCTTTTCTATCTAGTGATAGGGGGTGAAACTGGGGGGATAAAGGGTGATAAAAAGAACCCACAAAGTAGCAAAGATCAGTCACAAGCAAACAGAAAGAAAGAAATTAGATTCAGGGATTTCTATCTCTCTCTCTTCTCTCTATCCTTCTTTTTCTCCTATCTAGCAATAGGAGGTTAAACTTGCAGGGGGGGCATAAGGGGTAAGAAAAAGAACCCAGAAAAGATTAAAGGTCAGCTACAGCATACATCTCTTGCAGAGGACCTGAGTTCAGTCTCTAGCACCGGTGTTGGGTAGCTCATACTTTTGATGCTCTAGCTCTGGGGGGAATCTAACACCTCTACCCTCCATGGGTACTCATGATCATGTACCTACCAACCTACCTACCAACAAACCTACCTACCTACCAACCAACCTACTTACCTACCTACCTACCTAC